AGCCCTTTAGGGCGTAGGTGTTCTAGGGTGTTTTGTCTTCCATCTGCCCCTCTTCCCCTTCGGGGAGGGGGTTCTCACTGTTCCATATTAAAGACCCCCTCTCCACCATCCGGCCGGCGTCCAACAAGGAACCATGCCGACACCATGAGGGCCCGCCCCCCACCACCACTGTCAAAAAACCATACGAACTGCGCTCTGCCTCCACATTTGGAGCATGCGCGGCCAACCCGATGCGCCCCCCCCACCATCCTGGTCAGAAACAATACAAAATACAATTTGGGGCAAAGTCTTTGGTAATGTTCGTGAGGCCCGCGAACACTTTGTATTGTTCTTGACAGGGAAGGCGGGGGTGCCAGCATATTCCCTGCCGTGCACTGGGCGACTGTCTCTGTCAAAAAACAATACCACATGCACCTCGCGGCCAAATCTGGATCATGCGCGGCCATCCCGCGATCACTGTCAAATGGTTTTTGACAGGGACGGCGGGGGTGATGGCGCGTGGCCTGCTGTGCGCAGGCCCACCAGAAACAATGATGGGCATTGGTTTTCGAAAAGGATGGCGGGGGCCGACGTGGTTCCTGAAGTGTGCTATCACGTTTGCCGGCGCAACTGACGCACTCTGCACGTGCCCCGAACATGGCGCACCTGGCGCGGCTGAAGTCTGCGGCACACCTGGCGCACACGGAGCACGTGGCGCATCTGGCGCACCAGGCGTGCCTGGCACGCTCGGGCCCCAGGGATGCCTGGCGCGCCTGGCACGCGTGGCACGCGTGGCGCACCTCGCCCAAGTGTCGCGCACCTGGGGTCGGCTTTGGTTCTCAGTAGCTGCCCATCCAAAGACGATCGGTTACCATACTTAGGCTCGGGTGCTATTGTGTTGTTGGGAGGGAGGGTGGGAGTGAGCTGTTCCCTATAATAAACACCCCCTCCCTCACCTGGCCAGCAGCAAACCTGGAACCATGCGCACACCATGAGGGCCCCCGGGCCACCCCAACATCCCTGCCAAAAAACAATTCAAAACGCACTCTGCCTCCTAATTCGGAGCATGCGCGACCAACCCGATGCGGGCGCCATTCCCCGCCATCCCCGTCAAAAAACAATACACTGTACAGTTTGGGGCAACATCTGGAGTCATGTTCGTAAGGCCCGCGGACACTTCGTATTATTTTTCGACAAGAACGGCGGAAGTGTCAGCATATTGCCTGCTGCGCGCAGGGCTACCATCCCTGACAAACACACCATACAAAAAAAAAACCTCTCGGATACATGTGAATGGTGCGCGGCCACCCCGCGATCATTGGCAAGTGTTTTTTTTGTCAGGGACGGCGGGGGTGGTGGTGTATGGCCAGCTGTGCGCAGGCGCACCAGACACAACGATGGGCAGAGGTTTTCGACAAGGATGGTGGGGGCCGACATGGTTCCTGATGTGTGCTGTCATGTGCGCAGGCGCACCGGACACACTCTGCACGTGCCCTGGGCGTGGCGCACCTGGCGCGGCTGGAGGGAGCATCTGGCGAACTAGGCGTGCCTGGCACGCTCGGGCCCCAGGGGTGCCTGGCGCGCGTGGCGCGCCTGGCACGCGTGTCGCACCTCGGCCCAGCGTCGCGCACATGGGTTCGGTTTTGGTTCCCAATCGCTGTCCATCAAAAGACGACCGCGGAACATGCTGAGGCTCGGGTGTTACTACTGTGTTGGGAGGGCGGGTGGGAGTGAGCTAGACGGCTTGCTATCTGGAAAGTGTCTTGATCCCCTCCTACCCCCTCCCCTGGACCTGGACGGGGCCGGTCGCGAGGTGTCAGGGCGTCCAAAACGGCCTCGGCGTGGAAGCCAACATCATGCCCCATGTTGGCCTCTTTGGGGGGGGCAAGCATAGTTTAAGCGCCCCTCTTGTTTGATTGTTGTCCTCCATGATGGCCCCAGGAGCGCTCCCAAGGCTCCGAAGAGCGCTTCAAGAGGGCCCCAATAGGCGCCCAGGAAGCCCCAGGAGGCCCCAATAGGCCTCCAAAAGGCTCCCAAGAGGCCTCCAAGAGGCCGCCAAGAGTCCCCCAAGACGCTTCAAGAGGCCTCCACTAGGGGACCTTTCCTCACCGTGCTGCCCACTTCCCTGACCGAGGCAACTCCTCTGGCCATCGATTCTGGATGGGCTGGTGGGGTTACTTTTTGGTCTGCGGGCTCGCGAAGCAGTTCGAATGCCGTCCGAACACTAGTCGGGCCGGGACTAGGCAGCAAAAAAAGAGAGGCAAACCAAGCGAGCGCGCAGGCAGCCACTCAAAAGAAGAGCCAGAAACGAAACTCCCAACCCGGTGGCGTGGAGATCCAGGTGGCGACCAGCTGGTGGGGTTACTTTTTTGGTTCGCGGCTCCAAGGCGAGGGACAGGGAGCGAGCACAACGTCCGGGGCGCATGACGATGTTTTTTTTTGCTGGTGGGGTTATTTTTTTTGATTGGCGGCTCCAAGGAAGAGTCCAAGAAGCGGGGCGGGCGCGTCTGGGGCACAGGGCGAGATACTTGGTTACATGGGCGCCTAGGCCAACAAACCTGCTGGTGGGGATACGCGAAGCGTCTAGAGTTTCGAAGCAAATTCAGCGGTGGCGACATGGGCCTCCCAGGATGTCCAAAAGCGAAAACGAGGGAAGGGTAGCGGCACAATCGACTACACGCAAGAGGGGCCTTAGGCAAGATTGACCTTTGGTGCGCGGTTTAAAGAGACCCCGAAGGGCCAAAATCCAAGCACGCGGGCCTGTGCAGGGGCCACTCACGTGAACCCGCACCAAAGGTCAGTCCGGCGAAAGGTCATTCTTACGCGTACAGTCGAGGACACGAGACCCTCCCGAGGGCCACATTGCCATATGAATGTAGGAGGCACGGGTCGCGAGACACAGGACATAAGGGCACCGATGATTTGGCAGGGTCGACCTACCAACCAGGGCCGCCTGTAGCCGACATCAGCCTCCGCAGATGCCCAAGAGCGCCCGTATATACACACATACTTCTGCCGTGTGTTGGCGGGCGGGCAGCAGGCCCCCAGGGATGCCGCGACCCCTCTTCGCTCCCCGTCCCTCGTCCCGCGCTGTTCCTCTGGAGCAAGGGAATTCTTGCGTGTTCGACCGGGGGCCCCGTGTTACTTACCCATCTCCCCCTGGCTGGCGGTCTTCCGTTGGTTTCCGGCGGTGCTTCGTTGGTTTTTGGCGATGCTCGGCGGTCTTCGGCGGTTTCCCGCGGTCATCGACGTTATGTGGCGGTCTTCGGGAATTTTCCGCGATCTTCGGCGTGAAGGCTGGATGCTCGCGCTTCACGGGTCCATGATCGAACACCATACCCGAGGGAGACTCGGGTGCACCGCACATGGGGCCAGGACTGTCGGACGGACGTGCGGAGATGTCCCGCCCGCAGGGGCGGGTCGGACCGTCACAAGCCTGCGCCGGAAGACGCAGCCTCGCAGGAGGTAGCCCCTCAAGTACTGGGCCGTGATGGAGGTCCGCGAACATGAAATGCCAGGAATTATGCTCTGTTTTTCGTTCAAAACCTTGTTTTCGGTAAAGCACGCATGGACGAAGGAGGCTTGGGTGCACCGCAAAAAGGGGTGCCTGGATGAGGGGGTTGGCGCGCCGTGGCTCGAGTCACGCGCACGGACAAAAGGGTGGGCCAGGCACCGCTCTGGAAAAAAGGAGAAGCAGAATACGTATGACAGCCGCAAATCCGCCAATCCAGCGTGTGAGCTACAAGGAGCCTCAGCAAGAGCTTCAGCTCAGAGCCTAAGCAAAAGCTCCAGCTCTGCTTGGGGGGGGTCGCCAGGGTGGCTCTGCCATGGAAGGGGGGGGTCCTCCACCAGGCGTTTTCTTCATGATTTGCGCGTCCAGACCCCGCCCGGGGAAGGGGGGGAGGGGGGCGGGGGGGCGGTCCACCATCTGGCGTTTTCTCAATGATGTGCGCACCCCCAAGATGTTTCGGTGGGTCCCAGGGACCCCCCCCAAATCTAGCCGCTACCGCCCCCAGAACCCTCCCCTCGGAACCCTCCCCGGACCCCCCCGTGACCGCTCCAGGCACCCCCCCAAAGGAGAAGAAAGAGGACCGGAATAATCGAGGAGGGAGAAGGCCACAGAGCCGCGAAGATCACCGAATCCGGAGCCCCCCGGATCGGCGGCACTGGCCGAAGGTCATTACAGTATGATCAAACAAAATAGCATGTGAGAAACCTAAGCCGGCTTCCTGGAAGCAAGCCAGCGCCAACTTCAAGAAACTGGGGCATCTCTCGCAAGTTGGGGAAAAACGCTGGTCCAGCTTTTCGGGAGGGGGTGTCTTTATCAGATGCTCGACTGTTCTACGGATGACAAGGATATTTATACGAAGAAGAGGGTGCCATAACACCTCGAAGGTCTCATGGCAACGGCCATGATATGCACACACCCCTAATCCTCACCCCCCTCTCCGACGCCCCCGAAAAACGGGTCCTGGATTCCGGGGCCATTCACTGGGACTAGCGTTTCATCCTGAATCGTTTTCTGACTGTGCTAGGGCCCCTGGTGGGCCCTAGAGACATCTTGCTTCATGGTAACTCTTGTGCCCTGTTTCCCTCAGGACTCTTGCTTCATGGTAACCCTTGTTCCCTGCTTCGCCCCGCGCTGCGCATACTGCCTTATCACGAGCGGGATAAGACAACCCGGACAGTGCTGCGGCACGAGCACGGGCAGGAACCATGGCGGGCTCCCTGAGGCGGCTGGGCCAGGACAGGCCCTGGCCAGCCCCGACGCAAGCTCAGAGACAGAGGCAGACAACACGCACCGAGACATGCACACACGCCTACAGTCATCGGCCTGACCCAAGGAACGAAATAAGGAACGAAGCCCCTTTTTATCCCAAGGAATAACGCATAAGGAACGATCAATAATAGATAACGCACAAGGAGCTGTAAATAACGCATGTAGAATCTAAGGAACGACCGAGCCCGTTTTGAAAAGCAAGTGTTCCTTATTCAAGCCGCTCACTGTACCCCGATCCCTCCACGATGCAGCGATCGTCCGCCTGGCCTTCACCGCCGTCGCCTTTCTGGCCTGCCCGCGCGGGCGCACCATGGACAAAAACAGTGTCGGCGGGGCGCACGCGCGAGCAGAATCGGCGAGGGCTCGCTGTTTTGAGCAAGCTGCGGAATGGTACACCCTGCGAAATGCTTAAGAAATCATGGGTTAAGAAATCCATGGTCTCAGAACTTGAATAAAAGCCCAACAATTCTATTAAAAAGTTAGGTTTTCCATTGAAGCAATAAGAATAATCAAGACTCTGGCCGAAACCTTACGTTTTCTTAAGCATCGCCTAGGGTGTACCAAGGACGGTCGGCTCACACTGCACCCTCCGCAAAAACGCCGCAAGGCCGAGACCGGTACCCTGTCGTGCACCACTCTCGTGAAACACGACGCTGGAATGCCCACTCGTGCACCCACAGCGGACACTGGCTGCACAATCAGAGAATGCGCGACGTGCCCCTGGCCTGAGTGTAGCACGTAGGGCCCTCCTCCAAGATGGGCACTGATCAGAAGGAGGCGTGAAAGTCGAACGTGCTGGCCCATTCGCCACGTGGACGTGCAAGTCCAGAGTTCGCGTCAGTCCCTCCAGAGGGGGGACGGCTATTGACGCAACTTGCCATGGACATGGTCCTGCTCATGACGGTTCAAGTGAGCCTGGCCGACGACTCCAACAAAGAAAACCCCAGAGCTGAAGGACCCTCTGGACACCCCTCAACCTCTCTGGCCGCCTGGCGGCCTCCACGTATCGGGACAGCATACATTTGCTGAGCTATGAGCCGCATGCACATAACTTGGCGGCGCGCACAAGGGGGGTAGGAGGAGGGGGGAAGGCTTCTTAGAGGCACCCTGCTTCTGAGAAGGCCCCGGACAAGGCCCGCGCCTTCTAAGAAGCATGGGCGCTTCTCAGAAGCCTTCCCCCCCTCCCCCTACCCCCCTCTGCGCGCGGCCGAACATAGCTGCGAATACGTGGTCGCAGAGTCTTGCTCCCCACGGGTGCGCATACATTTCTGTACTGGATGCGTGCTCCGTGCCCGCCGAGGCTCGCAGTCTGGGAGTTTCTGGACGCGGCCCCATCGCAGGCGCAAAGACGTCAGCGCAACACACAGCTTGAGTTATTTGGTGTCTCGGGTCCCATCGACGTGCGTTCGAGACGATGTGGTGAAGAGGCCGAACCCACCCTGTATCCGAAGCATAGAAGTGATGGAGAGGACTTCCTCAAGGCAGAAACAGCCCTCAGCCAGTACGAAGATCCGGGCCAAGACCGCGGTAGATGAGGACAACGAGAGCAAAGGCACACACACACACACACACACATGGTGGACAGACACCGGCCCTGACTGGGCATCCAGACGAAGGAACGGGAGCTCTGGAGCACCCGTGTTCAGAGAAGCGTGTCGCGGCGCCGGTACTCTGGGGCCGAACTCGCGCCGGCAGCCCCGACGCAGTCGGGCCGACACCCGGACCCGTTCCTCATTCCCCCCTGTCGTCCGACCCAAAGCACCACCCCAGCCCAATGTGGTGTGGAAGCTCCTCCGCCCTCCGAGGCCCCTCCTCCTCTTCCTCCCCCCTGCTCCTGACCACCCCCTCATGACCCTCTCTTCGGCCTCCTCCCCCTCCCCACCACCTATCTTCTCCCTAGAGATCCCCTCCCGCTCCTCCCTCGAGACCACGTCCCCCCGCCCCTCTCTTGAGACCTCCTCCTTCTCCTCCACCCCCTTCCTTTCCCCCTCGGCCCTCTTCCGCCCTCCTTCACCTCCTCCGGCCTCCTTCTCCCTCTGCAGGGTGGGCACAAAACCTGCGCACTCCCACAGTAGCGGCCTCTCTGCATAGATCCACGACGAAGGCAACGGGTCCTGAGGTAAACGGGTCCTGTGAGGGGCAGTCATGGGGGGGGGATGACTGGCAGAGGGCGGGGACGCATCGACCTGGAATCGACGATACATCGCCGGTAGATCGGCGATGGGCCCCCGACAATGAAACCGAACGTTCCTGGGCAGGTTGGGGGTACTGGGCCCTTATCGGCGATCAATGGGCGATTGGGGGTCGATGCATCCCCCTCTGCCCATCCACCTCTATCGTTACCTCTGAACCTAAGACCTTGGGGCCTTCCCCCAACACATGTTGTTCATGCTGAGTTGTCTATTGGCTGCCCCGGGCCTTGAACGACCTCAGGGACCGTCTGCCTCGGGACACCTCCGTCAGGGCGATTAAGACAGACCGACTGGCATCTGATCTGTCCTCCCGATCTCTCTCTCTCTCTCTCTCTCCTCTCTCTCTCTTTCGTTTTTTTTTGTTTCTCTCTCTCTCTCTCTCTATATATATATATATATCCTCTCTCTTTCTCTCTCACAGACACACACATACACACCAAGAGCCCCTGGGGCCCCAAGGACACCCCTGAGGGGACGGATCGAGGGGACTGGCTCAGGCGGAGGAGCGTCGAGCTGCACTCGGCGGCACTTCCCCGAGAAAGCTGCGGCAGCGCCCCGACAGCGAATGGGCTACACGGTGCGGCGCTGCACGGTGCGGCGCCCAGAAAGCTGCGGCGCTGCACGGTGCTGCGCGAATGGGCTTCCCCCAGAAAGCTGCGGCGCTGCACGGTGCTCTCCGGGGTGGGCTACCGAGCTCCCATCGACGGTTTGGGGTGACTGGAGGTCGAGGCATCCCCCCCCCCAGAGCCCACCTCCCACTCATCGTCGCCCCTGAGCCCCGCAGAAGGAAGTGGCCGTCATTCCAGTGCACGTCCTCACAAGTCCCAACCCATTGATGGTGCTGGAACTCGCTGACGGGGCCCAGAGGCCGCACTCGAGGAAGCGCACACACAAAGACTTCAAGCGAATATCATGCCGTCGGAGCGCGGAGCCTTGCAACAGACTCGCCTCCTCCCTTGTGCGGTGGGCCAGCTCGCCCTCTCGAGGTCTGGGCTTGGCGCGGCCGCCGTGTTCATGGACATGGTTTTTTTGACTCGCGGACAGAGGGCGAAACGGCGCGGCCGCCGGCGCCCCAGTACGGTGCCGACCTAATCGGGCACCTTGGGCAGCTGCGCGATGCGGCGCGCAGCTAAGGCAGCGAATTCAGCTGCGTTGCCCCCAACGCAGCACAGGTTGCCGAGGAGCAACAGCGCCTGCCCCCGCGCTGGCAGCCGGTCCTGCCAGCCTGGACACGCGCCTCCCAGCATAGCACGATGTCCTACAGTAATGGTTGCCCAGAACCGATGGGGGCCGCTGCTGGGCAGGCGATGTTTCGTGTCACACAGACAACGGCAAGGTCGACGCCCACGGCGAGTCCTGTTCAGAACGTGCAGGAACCGCTGTCGACCCTCGTCCAAAATCTGTCCGCACCCATTCCGATCGCACCGACTCGTAGATCAACCCGGCTCAGCAAAACGAAACCCGGCCCAGCTAGTTTAGAGCAGCTGCGCGGGGGGCAGTCTTACTGGGGGACCTCTCGGATCAGAGTCCGCCAACATGCAATGCCACCTCCAGGGCCGCTCCTCAAGAACTGACGTTGCAGAACAGTTACAACATCGCGAAAAAGTCGCAACCGGAGCCCGAGACCCCATCTTTCTGTACCCTTGTTGGAATCGGATCGCCCTGTGAGGGCCATAGGGCCCAAAACCTTGGCGAAAACGCCCAGACCAGAGCCCGGATCTCAGCCCTCCCCCCCGAGCTCGCTTTTCTGGCAATCACTGGGGGCCTCCTGGCGTCCGTTCGGGACGATCTGGGCGCCCGTGGAGCCCTCTCTCGGCGGGGCGCGGCTGTTGGAGAGCACCCCGAGGCGAGACAAACGCACAGGAGCCAACGAAAGTGTCCAGACACGTTGAACGGCGACCCCCAGGATCTCAGGGTTTGACCGCCGGACGCGGGCGCCCGCGGGCTCCGCCTGGCTCCACGACCGCCACGCCCCACCCCGCGGCGCAGCTCTGCGTGGCGACGTTCCTGTTGCCCTTGCAGGCGCCTCCCAAGTGCGAGGGGGGAGCGAGAGGAGGTCGGGGGAGACCGAGGAGGAAATCGAGGGGTGCCGTCACGCGAAGGAGGAGCTCGAGGAGCAAGAGGACACCGCAGGATATCGAGGAGGAGCTGCAGGATATCGAGAGGGGATATCGAGAAGAGGGAGAAGGAGGAGGATGAGATAGAGGCAGAGGGAAGGACCAGGTCGAGGAGGATAAGGCACCGAGGAGGAGACTTCGAGGAAGACCTCCTTCCTCTGCAAGGAGCATCGAGGGAGCATCGCTATCGAGCGAATGACCAGGAGGCACGCAAGAACACCCCGAGGGCTCCGCGGCCTGCGTCATGCCGCCCAGGCCGTCCAGGGGCCGACGGACCCAGACACTGCCTGCCTTCTCCCGCTGACGCCGCTGCTGCCGCTGCTGCCCGAACTCTCGGAATGCTGCACGCGCCCTCCTGAGCCTCCTCCGCGCGACCTGTCACCAACGCTGCCGCTGATCGCGTCTGCGGCAACGGCCCTCCGCTGGCTCCGACGAGGGGCCCAACACTGTGCCTGATGACGCTGGGATTACATCCGTGTTCCACTTGCCGCTGGCACTGCGCACCTGTCTGGCTCGTATTGGCGCCGTTGCGGTGGCTGACGACGTCCGGCTCCAGCTGCACGCTCTCGCAGCGACGCAATGATCGCACAGCCTGTCCCCAGCTTGTAGCATAGCCGATGATGTGTGCACGCCCCTTCTCGCACGATATCTCTCCCCAGAGCTGGTGCTGACGATGTCGGCTCGCACGCTCTCGCCCAACATAGTCCCATCATTGTAGCTGATGACGTCGACTCACCTCTTGTCGCGCGAACAAGTCCCAATGTTGTTGCTGACGATATCTGCTCGCGTACACTCGTCCTTTTTGCCGCTGTTGCTGACGATCTCGGGTTCCAGCTTCGCCTCCTGCCCTCCGCAAAATGACGCCGGAGCTGCCTGCGGCTGTCCGCCGTCCTCGTACCGCCCCGATCCCAGCGGTGTAGCTGATGAGATTGGGCTCTTCATCGCTTCGCCTTCCACATCTCGCCGAATGGCATCGGCGAATAAAACGACGCGACGATCGGGACAAAATCGGATCGGGATAACTCGAAATCTCTGAGAATCGGCGGGCTTGGAGGATGTATTGGGGAGCGCTCTGGAACGCTCTGGAGCGATTTATCGCGATCCCAGCCCTGTTTGAGAGAAGCTGGCCCCATCTCTGCTGCGCCGATTCCGGCGTGGCAGATGCCGGCACTCGTCGCTGCCGGCCTGCCTCGCCCGCGGCCGCTCCGCTCCGTGCGCGCCGCCGCTCCTGGCCTGCCACTCCGGCAGCTGCCTCCCCACGTTCTCACGCGCTTCTATACCCCGCCCGTGTGGCCGATGGCGTCGGCTCCGTGGCGCTCCTCCTCCGAGGCCGGGGCCCTTCGGCGAAGACTGCCCAAGGCGCCTCTCAACTCCGACGGAGCCTACCAGGCGATGACCCCTCGATGAGAGCGACCTGGCAGCGACGCGATTCTTGCGAGGAGACTTGTGGGAGGAGACGGTGGGGGGATAATTACCTCTCCGACTTCCGCCACGCATTGCCGCGCATGGGGGGTCTGTCGGGAGCGGCCAAGAGGGGGGTGTCCAAGAGGGGGGGGGGTGCACAGCATGACCAGCGGCACGTGCGCGGCCCAGCGGGAGGACCAGTGACGTAATGAGATAAGAAGAGTCGCCATGAAATCTGTGGAAAAATCATGGCCCGCGCCATGAAATCCACCCCCTCTAGTCTTCTCACCCCTCTTTGCCGCCCTCGAATTCGGGTCCCTCCTTGAGGGGTCGGTGCATCCGGGCTACCCCTCCCCCTTCCCCTCCCGCCACGCGACGATGGGGCACCCCTGGACCCAGGGGGCCCTCCCCCAGGACCAGCCAGCCTTGCTTTCTGGGTACTCTCACTGGCGGTCCTGTGGCCCGGGGAAGGCCCCCCCGACCGGAGAACGGTGGAAACAATCGTGGGCCCGCTTCCCTCGGGACCCATCTGTTCATGGCGACACAACGAACGACAGCTTCGACGGAAAGAGGGCCGGGTGGAGGGAAGGAAAGAGACGACGACGCAGAAGAAGATCGACAACGAGCAACAGCAAGCCAGCACGCGCGAACATGGATTGACGGTCCGTGGATCTGACGCTTTTGGCGCCAGATCCTTGGACCGGGGAAGGCACACCCGAAGCACGGCGCCAGTAACGCCCCATTCTCGCGAGCCAGCACACACACACACACACAAACACACACACACACACACACACACATACACGTCATGCAAATCTGGCATGCCTCGTCTCACCTGGATCTTGCAGATGCGCCCACGCGGCCTGCTGAGAAGGCCAACGGAAGTTCAGCACTGCAGGCGCGAGATGTGCAATGAGCGCTCCGCATCGATCTGGGACCGGGACCCGTCGCTAATCTGCGCGCCTTGATGGCAGCCTGCACCTCCTCGGGTGCTCCACGGACGCTTCTCATTCCCCGATAGCCCCGTGGGCCCACAGAAGCTCTCGGGCACCTCAGGACCCTCAAAGCTCGACGAAGAATGTGCCCCCCCCCCTTCCAGGCAGCAGAAACTCGTAACCGAGGTAGGTTTTGAGTTTTGCTTCCCGCCCTCGCTTCTCTCGGCGGAAAAAAACCTCCGTCCCTCCTCCTCTTCCTCCTCTTCCTCCTCTTCCTCCTCCTCCTCCTCCTCCTCCTCCTCCTCCTTCTCCTCCTCCTCGTCGTCGTCGTCGTTGCGCGGCGGGCGCCGCGGAGAAAGGATTATCTACCACTACTGGCGGGCCCCAGTCCGTCAATCAGGGCGTCGACGAGGACTGCTGGCTTCCTCTATTTTTGGCGGGGGGGTCTGACGGCCTACCTCGGCTCCTGCGCGTGCCTGCTGCAAGACCTGCAGCGGACCGCCGCGGCGCGGCGCGCCCCCGCGGCGCGACACCCTGGGGAGCGGAGCGCCCTGGGGGCGCCGACGGGGGAGGGGGGCCACGGGCTGCCGAGACCGCCCTGGACCCTGCTCGGGAGGCCTGCTGCGGCCAGCCGGGGCCACCGTCGACCCGCATAGCTCGGGTCGGGCAAAAGGGGGGAATTAGCAAAGGGAGGGGGGGGGGGAGAATCAGCTCATGTAGCTGAATTTCCCGGCGCCTCTCGGCGCCGGAAGCGGCGATGTACCAAGGAATGGGCCCCTCGGTGAGGCCGAAACCAGCTGCATGCAGCAAATGTCGTACCCCCCCTTTCCCAATCCCCCCCTTTCGCCCGGCCCGAAGAGTGAGGACGCACGGTGAGGACGCAAGGGCCTGGGAAAGCCATGTCGACGCTGCGCGAGCTGGGCGCAGCCAGCGAAGGCGGCCAAGGACGGGCCAAGGGGTGCAGGGGTACCCTTGAAAAAACGCTCATCCTCAGGACAGGATTGACCATAGTCGGGGGGGGCATTTTCAGGCCAGCCAGGCCACCTGGGGGGCGGCCGTCTGCGCGCAACCCGAAGCCTTCCCATGATAGTTGCACTTCCTCGGGGCAAGCATCCAGGCATGCGACGTCCCGGGTTTACAGTACGGGGTCCACCGAAACTCCCGACCATTTCCCCCGGACCGGTTTTTCGTTCTGCGTCGCTTTTGACGGTCCGGGGGCCCCACGAGGGCCAAAAACGATGAAAAACCTCCCGTCGTGAATTTTGCTCACGGCGCCTGTCTGTCTGGGAACGGCAGCGAAATACAGCGGCGGCGTCGGCGTCCACGGCGGCACCGGCGCCGAACCCCTCGGGCGGGTGGTCAATTTGGTGGGTGGTGGCCTAGATGGGGGGTGAAGGGGTGAGAGGAAGACGAGAAGGAAGAGGAAGAGGAAGAGGAGGAGGAGGAGGAGGAGGAGGAGGAGGAGGAGCAGAACGACGAGGCGGAAAACGAGCAAGAGAACGAGGAGGAAGACGAGGACGAGGACGAGGAGGAGGAGGAGGAGGAGGAGGAGGAGGAGGAGGAGGACAAGGAGGAGGAATAGGAGGAGGACGAGGAGGGGGTCGTGAGGAGGAGGAGGAGGAGGGGAGAGGAGGAGGAGGAGCAGAACGAGGAGGAGGAGGAGTGACCCCCGCCCGCCCAAGGCCCCTCCGTCGGTGTACAGGGCCAGCTCCGGGGGCCGCTCCTGCCCCGTGCGCGGGGCCGCGGGCTCGAGGAGCGGGCAGGAGCCTGGTCGGGAGGCGCGGCCCCCAGGGGCTCCCGCAGAGCAGGAGGCGGGGGGAGGGAGGGAGGGAGGGCTCGAGGGAGAGGAGGGGGGGGCAGGAGAGGAGGGGGGGTAGGGGGGGGGGAGGGGGGGGAGAGAGGAGCAGGAGGAGGGGGGCGGGGGAGAGGAGGGACAGGAGGCAGGACTCGAAGGAGAGCAGGGGGGGGGCAGGAACCCGCGGTCCCACCTCTCCACACTGACGGTCGGCACTGTCACCCTACGCCCTTTCTGGGCACTCCGCTTTTCCGACACTTTATGCCTGTCCTGTACCGTACGGGCCTACCGCACATTTCATCCATTTGCTCACCACTGTGCCTAAGTCGGTGTGCGATGCACCTCTGAAATGCTACAGCCATGACGCCCAAGTTCGCCCAACGTAACAGGCAGGAACCTGCGCAACCTGCCTTCGAGAGGGTCGCAGAGAAGAGGAGGAGGTAGAGGAGAAGGAAGAGGAAAGCCGCTCCGCAGGGGAGAGACGAGACGGAAGAAGAGGAAAGGGAGGAAAAGGAGTGGACGCGCGTCCTAACCCCCATCTGATGCGGCGTCCTTTTGGCACGCCCCCCGTACGCCCGTGTGTATACGTATGTATGTGTGCATGTATGAATGTATGTAGATGCAAATGTAGGTGCATATGTATATGCATATGTATATGTACACATATATCTATATGTGCGTGTCGATGTAGATGTATATATATATATATATGTATGCAGTTGCATATGTATATGTGTATGCATATGTATCTACATATCTACATATATACAGGTATAGGTATATGTAGACATGGGTTCATGTATGTGTGCATGTATACATGTATGAATGTATAGTTGTCTACAAGTATGTATGTATGTACACATGCGGTGTGAGCGTATGGGTGTATGTATGCGTGTATGCATGTATGCATGTATGCATGTATGTATGTAGGTGTTTGCGTATGTATGGATGAATGTATGTACGCGTGTAAATGTGCCAGCATCTATGCATATACGTATGCATGTTTGCGTGTATGGATGCCGGTGTGAAAGTATATACAGATGCGTGTACGTAGATCTGGATGTATGTATGTGTGTGTGCATGTATGCATGCATGTATGTATACATGCATGGTTGCGAGCATATATGTAAACATGTACATGTGTGTACGTATGCATGTTTGTAAATGTGTAAACCTGCGCGTTTGTAGGTGTGCGTGTGTGTATATGAAACAAGTGATTGCATGTATTCATGTATGTATGTGTGTATGTACGTACGTACGTGTGTGTGTATGTATGTATGCAGGAGGGTACATAAGAACACATGTGTGGGTGTATGTATGCATGTGTGCAGGTACGTGTAACGTCATACATGCATGCACGCATGTATACATATATTACCATGTGTGTATATATACGCACGTATGGATGCATACATTGATGCATGTATGCATGCATGTATGCATGTATGGATGGATGGATTGATGTATTGATGTCGGTAGGTCGGTAGGTAGGTAGGTCGGTGCATGTATGTTCGTGTGTAACTATGTATCTACACATAGCTACAACTATACATATGTATGCGTATGTGTGTGATTATCCGCTTCCTCCAATCTGCCAGAATGGGGCCTGTAAGGATCATTTGCCCTCACGCGGAACGCTTGCGAAGGAAATAATGAGAGTGGGGAGGTGGAGGGGAGTGGGGGGAGAGCGAAGGCGGTTTCCAAGGAGGAATCGCGGAGGAGGAGGAGGAGGAGGACGAGAATGACGAGGAGAAGGAGGCTGAATAGGAGGAAGAGGAATGCGAGAAGGAGGGGGACGAGGAAGAGAAGGAGGAGGAGGAGGAGGAGGAGGAGGAGGAGGAGGAGTGACCGTACCGTAAAGGTTGTGAGGGTGAGAAGGAGGAGGATTAGCACCTGTAGTCGGGGGGGAAGGAGGAGGAGGAAAACGAGGTGGATATGCAGCAGCAGGGACACGAGGAGGGGGAGGAGAGGGAGGAGTAGGAGTGACCGTACCTTGAGGAGGAGGAGGAGGAGGAGGAGGAGGAGGAGGAGTCCGTAGCAATTTTGGCTCAAGTCCGTAGCGGTGGCTCAGGAACCTCGAATCTTTAGCCTAGGGGGGACGGGGGACTTCGCGGTCCCAAATGCTCCCTGGCTTCCGCCCGCCAGACTGTTTTCGTAACTCCGACTCAATCAAAGCAACTTCACCACTTTCACAACTTACTTTCGTAATGGTGCTGCTTTTCACTGCTTGTACAAGCTTTGGGTCAATCAGCTCGAGGAAGAAAATGAGGGAGGATTGTGGTACACCAATTCCGGGGGCAAGTGGTACAAGCATGGGCGCACTCTAGCACGTTGCGCGGCGTGCGGTTGCGGTGCAAACATCGTCATGCCCAGCTTCCGCAAGTCCCTCTTCCTGATGCCTCTACTTTCAAGTATAGGTTAGGTCTCGCCCCCCTGGGTGGTTTGGAAGATACGAGTCGTATGAAGGCGACGGTGTTGGGAATGGGATCGACGGGGAAGATAAAAGGCAAGGGATCTGGTAGGAGCAAGTCTTCCACCGGCGCACTTTGGCTCACATGGCCGGATTCTGGTGGCTCCCTCGCTCTTCCGCCCGCCGCTAGTCCGGGAGGAAGTGCCCCGCCGCTCTCCGATGGACCGCCCGTTCCGGCCCTCAGCGCGGAGGACTCAAAGCAGACGAGGGGGCTCGCCTGCAAGGCGGGGGACCCCTGGAGACGTCCGTACTACGCCGACTCGGCTTCCCGCATGGTGGCGGTGTTCTTTTCGGCTTCGTGCGTGGTTTTTTCGCCAAATGCTCAAGGATGCTCCTCGATGGTCCTCGCCGAAGGAAAAATGCACACGTCCGAGCGATGCCAAGCGGAAGGCAGGCCCCCACCCCCTCCAGCGAAGGGGGGGAGGGGAGGGCTGGGTGTTGAATCTGACAGCGACCGATGGTCCCAGCCCTCGGTCTCAGCAGCGCTTGATGCTTTTGCAAATCGTACCTCTTGGATCGGCTCTACTGCCCGCAGGCTGTGGCTGAGCTTGCTCGTGCGGGAGGTCCCTGGCCTATGGTTGTTCGTTCGCAAGTTGTCCTAGCTTCCCTGCTTCCTTGGGAAGGCCCCGCGCCCCCAGGAGACCGAAACATTCAAACTCGTCGCTCTCTCCCGCTGCCTGGCCTGGCCGATCAGACGCAGAGCTTGGGGTGTGAGCTGCCACGGCAGCTGCTGCACGCTCGCCGCAATCCGTTGCCGACAGCCGCAAGCTGCACGAAACCTATCCCTCAATCAGTCAGGGGCTACGTGTTGGGGCAAGTGCGGCCAGGGTCTCCTGTCGGGGAGGGGATATTGACTGGCCAGCTCCCACCCCTGCACCCCCAAATGCGTCTGCTCGAGCTTGGTCTCAGAGCTGCGGGCTCGACGAGGGCCTGCCGGTGTCGACAGTGAACGCCGACAGTTGGGGAACCCTGGAATCCTTCCTGGGCAGCTGTACTTCACGCGTGGCTACTAGCCAAAGGCATAGACTTCGGGATGATGACGAGCGTGGCCAGGTCTCGAACGGGGCCTGAGCCCCTGGGATGGAAATCGTTTTGGGCCCCAAGGCTTACTGGCGAAGGTGGCGGCACCTCCTCAAGGGTCAGCGTCCCCGAACATCCGGCTTAGGGGGCCACGTGCGAACCCTACCACTACCCCCCACGAGTTCTGAGGGGGAGGGTGGGGCTCATTCCGTTCGGGATCTCCCGAGCGAAGTGAACCCCACCCTCCCCCTCAGAAATCGTGGGGCGTATGGGTAGGGTTCGCAAGTGTCCCCCTAAAAATCCCCCTGTAGGGGGACAGGCCCGACTTAAGACTGGCACGACTTCGGGAGCTCCCAAGCGAAGTGAACCCCACCCTCCCCCTCAGGACTCGTGGGGGGTAGGGGCAGGGTTCGCATGTGAACCCCCTACGGCTGCTCCCATTTTTTTCGACGCGTGGACCCCGAAGAGGGCTGGACCACCTTCCCCGGGGCCGGTGTTGCGTCCTGAGCTGTTTTTGCGACGGCCTCGGGGCCCGCCGAAGCTCCCGGAGGCCGAGCACGGCCAAGACCCCCCCGCTCCAGACTTTGTTGGAGGGTCGGACCTCTGGGTCCTCGTTGAAGGGGCCCTGGGACACACAAATAAATACACACAAATGAACAGGACCCCCGCAGATGTTCCTATATTTTCTGTGTTTTTGTCTTCCCCCCCACTCTCCATATTTTCCCATATTTTCCTGGGGATCGACGATTCATTGTGTCTGTGTGTTTTTCCCTCCTGACTCGTTAAGGGCGCCTTCGGTCTTTCTTCGCAGTCGGAGCCTCGCGCGCTTGCGGATGCCAGGCTCCGCAGCGTTTTGCGCTACCTCCCTTTCCTTTCGCAGCAGCGAAGGTTCTTCCGAGGCCAAACTGCTCCAGATTTCGCAGTGGAAGGGAGGGGGTCACAACCCTCCCAGACGAGAAATTTTAGAACCCCCCAGACTAGCCATGAAAGGGCTGCCTTTGGCACATGCCCTCCTGGAACCCTCCAAAATAGTTCAAATCAGACCCCCCATCAAAAATACCTCACCCACTTTATTGCGAAATGGGGAACGTCCATCCTCAAATCGGTCGGTGCGTTTTGGGAGGTTTGCAGTGTGAGTCTACAACCGGCGCTGAATCGAATTTCTCCCGTGGAATTACTGCAGCCTGCGATTGTCCTAGCAAGGTGGGCGGCTCGCTTTCTGGCCCAAAGGGGCGCGCCCACTTTCCCAGCGTTTGGCCTGCCGACGCGTTCGACTAGCGCGAGGTCTCTCCTTCGCTGTCGGTGTGTTTGAAAACGGTGGAAATGTCGAGTCACTCACTAAACTCCCCTCGCAAGCCGGTGCCCTTGCGACTCCTCAGCTCTATCGGAGATCTCAAGGCTCTGGCCTTCCGTTGACCTCCTGATCTTCCCGTTTTGCCACCGGTGGGGCCTGCTCCTCAAGGGGGGGCCCAGGGACGTGAC